TTTGGTACATTTCATAGGCATGTTGTAACAGTCTCTTAAGAGCTCACGAATTTAGGTCTGGGTCCTAGTCAGGCTCCTCGTGTGTGTCGTCTTTTTAATTTAGTAGATTATTGAAAGAAGTTTGTACAAGGAACAAGAGAAGACTGTTAAATTTGTGTTGTTTATGTTTCTACAATTGTTCGCGAACCCCCACTGTTACACATGCCGTAAGATACAAAAGAATATGTCTATGTGAAGGACCCCAATAAGCAATATATTCGATAAATATGCTCACCGGCAGTTTTCACATGGATTAAGTTTTAAAGTCCGTCCCGGGATCCAGAGTTGATCACCCTCATGTTGTTGATTCTCGATTAATCATATTCTGCTTCTTTTTCTCCCTCTTTTCTCTGGATCACTCAATCATCAATTTCTCCTGTTTTAGTTTATTATGATTTTACACGTTTTGATTTGAAGCGGTCAAAATTTGCGAGAATAGGAATAAACTATACATTATTTTACAATTAGCATATCCTTGCTTCGCTYTGGTATCGCTTATCTTCTTGGCCTTTGCCATTCCTGGACATTATCGAATATTAGCTTCGGCCAAACCCAAATTTGCTACAAAAAACTGTATATTTAGTAAAATCTTACGAGTTTTTGTTTTTGAAAGTAAAGTGACCGTACTACTTAAATCGGTTTTATAGCTGTCATCGCATCTWTTATGCTAACATGACGTAGATTCCGGTATGGTCTTATAATCTGGTATTACCCGGTATAATCCCATTACGAGCTAAAAACTGTTTTTGACTCATTTCTCGAAACAAAATTTACATCAAGTAGGGCATACGTTTTTTACTCCAAGTCAGATACGGGTAAACTAATTCTATTCAAATTTCGTAGCATTGTTTATAGATAGTTAAGCAACAAAATCGTGTCTGGGATTTTGATAAGTCGTCTTTTTTCAAAAGTTATTCAAGGTTCTTTAAAGAACTTGGCATAATTTTGCATTCCTTAACTTTATTACAACATTAAATCAAAACGAGAGCGCGTATAAAAATCGCAGACACAATTTTTGAGACAAATATGTGAACAAAGGAACAGCGCTTAATTTGAATTTTTTCCGAAAATTCTTTCAGACTTGGAGTTCGTTTTATACAGGCATGTAGTTTCAGATAATGGAGCTAAYAACTCTAAAACGTAATTTAAAAGCATTTCAAACACTTATAGACATAAACTACAATTAATGAGCTTTCAGAAAATATATACTTTGTGAGCATTTGCACTCACTATACTCTTGAACTCAAAGGAAATTGCAAAAAATGCCYGTATGCATCCAACTTTTTCGACTCCRCCTCATTCGATCCAGCCCTCGTGTTGTCTATGTAACGGGAAAAAAATCAAGTAACAGCTTATGCCTTGTCAGGTGTTCCTGTAGACCAAGCAGATCTATCAGATGATGAACTAGCTAATGAAATAAAACTATTTGCTGTACACTCTATTAATACAGTCGACTCTTCCGTTAGCGGACACCCTTGGGAAACGAAAAAATTGTCCGCAAGTAGAAATGTCCGCCTAATAAAAAGGGATCATGAAACGGTTAAACAACGTCAATTATTTCTTTTTAATAGGTATAAAAGCATTTCTAATGATTAGCGATTAAGACATTGTGACTAAAAGTTTAAGCGATATTTAATAAATACAGTTGGCGTATCTGTTACAATATATTGTATACAATAAACATAAAAAAAGTTAAAAGCTTTGTTTTCTCTATAAGAGTTACAGAACTTTTTGCTCAGCTTCGCAAATGTTATTAAAAAGAGCGATCAACACTGCCTTAACCAGACTTCTTTGTCAAAGCTTCCAGCATATTYTGCTGCTGTTGCATTATCAAGCTTATTTTTTGAAAAAAATTTCCCTGTTGAATCTAATGGTTTCTCCGTGCTGCAATTTGTGTTTGCTTTGTAATCTCTTGCTTTCTCTTAACAACCTTACTTCTACTCTCTGCTCCTCCAATTGAAATTTCTTCATTTCCTCTTCCTTTGCACTTCTTGCAATAAGGGTAAATCTGCCCCTTGCTCCTTTGGCTGTTAGAACGACAAAGAGTTGATCCGAGGTAAGAGTTTGAGCCAATGCTCCGATCCATCCAATACTCWTTCTTTGCTTCCTGATTTATTATCAAATCTTCCTAAGCATATTATCTGCCTCATCAGCATTTATTATGTCCTTTTCTTCGGGCAAGCTATTGTAATCCTTTGATATTAAAAGATAATACTAGTTTAAAGATAAGATAACACTGAGTTTTAAGCTTCACAAAGGTTTGCAGCAACTTAGAAGATCTGGGAATACTGTGACGAATTGAAGAATTGGACTGTATTGAACCCTAATTAAGTTAATATCAATACTATCAAAATGCTAAATCAAAACAAAATCCTGGAATGAATAATAATAATAGAAGCAATGTACTTATCATTAATATTGCTAATTATTTTAACAAAGCCAATTCCATGTTTCTGGAGCTTTGTWGAGAAAACACTCTCTTTCCTCATCGTCCTTATCAAATGGTGCGTCCTAGCTTGACTCCGAAGACTTTGGATATTGRCATTTTGTACTTTTGTCTGTTTTTTTACTTTCCCTATATTTTCRAAAGCAGGCCTATAATTGTAATCAAATGTTTTTGATCTCTAGTCAATGTCGTTAARGAGACTGGTTCGCATGAGAAAGAACGAGGTAAAGGAACAACAGCAAGGCATTGTTGATCTGCCCTTCATTGCCATTAAAACCRATAAGAGKACCAACGTGGAATGCAGTGTTTCTTCTGATTGGTAAGTCTTGATCTATTAAGGTGGTKCATTATATGCAAAATGCCAAATTAGTTATTTGATTCTCGAATAACTTTTGCAAATGAAGTTACACCTGACCAACTTATAAAGCAATCAATTATCTATATTATGTCCTTTTCGGATTGTATTTTATGTATTTGATTAGTGATATATACGCTAATTTACATATGTATTATTTTCGGGAAAAAATCTATTTTTCAGAAAATTAATCTGTTTTCTCATTTAGACTGATTCCATAAGTCGGTACCAGTTGTTGGACCACAAKGGACCGTCGCGGCAGTGAAAACGTACCTCTTAGTTTGTTCTGTTCTATTCTATAATTTATTCTTGCTCTGCACTGGTTTAACTCACTGGACGAACTCACTACTATTATTGTTACATTGATTGATATACGTTTTACAAAATTAGACGAAACCCAAATAATAATCTGATATTAACTGAAACAATAACCAATTATGGCATCACTTCAATATTGATCTTAACCCTACAACATAAAAATTGCTGGATATTAAAACTACTGGTAATTCAACACTATTTTTCGTGGTAATCTAAAACTGCAGGTACAATTTCTAGACCAAACTATAAAACTGCTGACGAATCACTTAAAACTGAAATCTACTATTAACTTATTAACATTGTATTAGAACGATTTCACATAACCGGATAAACAATGCTAATGAGGATCAATTTATGCTAATACACATTACACGATTTTACACGTGGAACAACGAGGATATTGATGAACGCTTACCTTATTTGACGTACAGATATGTTTTAAATAACAATTAAATCATAACAAACATTCAAAATCACACTCAAAATTTTTCTTCACGGCATCCCTTCTCCTCTCTTTAGGCGTCTTCTTGCCTGCATATTTCATTTCTAACTCTTGTGTTGAATTAGTACTGATATTCAGGTTCTGGTTGTTCTGTCACAATTTCGACACCGAATTGATTTGCACTGTGCTGTGGTGTGTACTGGATGAGATATGGCCTTTTTGATTATCTCTTTCAGTCTCGTGATTTTAAATTGCTCATTATCACTCTCAAAGTAAAACTGAACAACTCGATCTGGGAGGCCAGTGTTCACTATCGTTGCCTTGCACAGCGCAACAACGATATCCCAGTCATTCACCTTGCACTTTTGGTAGCATTTCTAAAACAAACATGCGCTCAAGCTCGCTGACGTTAACTCTCTTTTAGAGAGAGATTTTTAAAAAATGAATAAAACGACAACATAAGCAGACAAAATTGCACAAATAAAACATTTGTTTGCTTGTACAAACATTCCAATGTGCACACTAACGRAAAACACTTCATAAGGCGAAACAAAGTCAAAACATTTTTGTGTCTAGTTTTTGCAAACAAGGACAACAATTTGATACAAGCTTTTCTCATCGTGTAATGTTTTTAAAAAATGTTTAAAATCGCTGATCATAGGTTGATACCAGCTATCCTTATGGGTAGCTGATTGGTTTTATCAGGATAAATAAAGTTGTTATTATTGTTATTATTATTATTATTATTATGTGTATTAGCATAAATTGATCCTCATTAGCATTTTTTATCCGGTTATGTGAAATCGTTCTATTAACTAAATGTCAGGGAGACGTAGTCTAACACAGTTCCCTCTCTGTCGATATTTKTTTTCGCTCACAGGTCAGACTTTATTATCAGAAATGATCCGCATTAAAAAACATTGGAATGAGCCAATTACAGTAATTGTTCTAAAAAATATTGATTTTGACAAACCAGAGATGATCTTAGGGACTCTGAAATAATTACCAGGAGGGGGGGGCGTAAAACCAGAGGGGGGGGGATTACATAAAATCRATGGCAAGATAGGGAGGCTCAAAGTAACTTTTATTTCCAATGTAGCAGAGAGCAGAGGGGGGTAAGAGCTATTTTCTTGTGCTTCGGAGGGGGGGGGGAGTTCTAACTAATTTTCTGCTTAAGAAATCTGGTTTTAGCCAGAACTTGCTGCATGATCGATTGAAGAACGATTTCCCGTTTGAGAAAAATTCTGAGACGCCATCCTGTTTTTATACCGTGATGGAGATATCGAGTATTACTGTGTAGTAGTCTCTCCGAGGACAAAGTTTATTGTAGGCGATGGAGAAGGGCATGATTAAATACGCTTCGATGAAAGAAGAATGAATGCATTTCCATTCCACTGACACTTTCATAGTTTTAACTCTGATGAAACGGCTTTTGAATATCTGTACTTTTGCCTAATTATGCAAGTAAAGAAGTGCCGCGAAATGATCATAATCAATCGAATAATTTAATGATGCAAAATCATAAAACAGTCCAAGTGCTATTGATTTTCTATCTAACTTTACTTTACTTTGAAACACCATGAACTACGAATGTGTAAGGAGTAGGTGTTGATCTGTAATTTTGTTTCGATTTGTTTGAATATCCAGACAGTTGCCGAATAACTGTCACAACTAATTCTTTCAACACCTTGTAAGCTCAAACACATTTATCATTTCAATTTTTAGCATTTCATCTTGCCACAAATAACAATCATTATAAACTCCTGGTAAAACGTTAATAGTCTTAATACGATCTTTATATAGAAATATTCTAACGGCTACTGGTGTGAATCCACTTCAGCTAATTAAATATGCACGACGGTCTCATTTTCGTTTGTACAGTCGTTTGTGATAAAGCAACCTAACACCCAGGGTCTCTCTTCTCGCTATTTTCAAAATGGCGGACCCTCGGGAGGGAGACCCTGGCGGAGACTGGTCACGTGATACCCAGGAATCGTGGGTATCGGCCYCAGGCTGCTCGTTTGAGCCTTGAAACTGACAAAAAACAACCGAAAAGAAAATGGAATCGAGTAAAAACAAACATGCGGTTCGATCGAATTGAAAAAGACTATTCTGATCTTTTTCTGTCGAATTATTGCCCCAG